CTGGCCGAAGGATATGCCTGAAACCATCGTGAAACATCTGCGGACAAGAGTATTAACTAGGCCATCGAGTTCGTGGAGTACATTCCAAATAACAAACAGATTTGTTTCGTTGTTTCCTCCCCATTTTTTATCAACCCAATCTTTTCAAAATGAATAACTTTTCTGCCTGGTCCAAGTGGATATCTACACAAATATACAGTTTTAGATTTTAGAGAGCTACTTTTACGGTGTAAAATGTTCGTTTTTTTCACTAGGCAAAAGATGGAGTTGTGGTGACATCTCGAATTTGGTTGCAATTTTTACGGGTAAAATTGAACGCAACATTCTAAGACTCATNTTGCCTAACAGTTACGACCCAAAGTGCGAACACCCGTGAAAGCCAGTTGAGCTTGGTTCAGATATGCATAGTAGGAGCGCTTATAAACAACAATTATTCATAAAATGCAGCTACATATTCTAACTGGTTGCTTGGCAGCGCTTGCCGAGCTTGGCAATTGAATTGCAAACCGCTCGAGGCGACTTCGTCAGTGCGGGGCCATGTGGGTGCCTATAGAGCTTTTAAACCTTATCTATTGACCATAAAGTTTTTGGTTGGTCAGCTTGAAATATGTGTTGCATCGTGATCTCATTTCCTTGCACGCGGTTTGTTCGTTTGGCGCCTTCAATTCAACAGTTCCTTTCGTCCGTTTTGACTGGTCCATTTCATTCTCATTTTGTGATTTCGTTCTACTAGGTTGGTTGACTCACTGACCTTCTATTAAAACAAAACACACTATAAAATAGTCATGAACATACGATTATGATTAATTGCCCTCTCGGGTATGACAGTCTTCAGAGAATATTGTGTGTTTACTGTCGTGTCCTCAACGAAGATTGGGTACCAATTAATTTTCTCTGCAAAAAGGCGGGAAATTTCATCGGTAGACTCTTGGGAAAACCGAGTTTTTCAGTGTAAATCCGACAGATGTAACTGCTTATTGTGACAAATTTGCTAGATTTTTTTCAAAAAGAAACACTTTTCTCCAGAATCACTGGCCAAGGCGTAAACCAGATTATAGTGAATGCATTCAAATTCTACGTTTTATTGAATTCAAGATATTCAAGCTGAGTTTTTTGTCATACAGGATGCCTTCCATGAAATAGTCATCATCCATGGGTTTGTGGCTAAACAGCTCGCTGATTTTGAGTCACGCTGCAGCATATACTGTCCTCTACATTTCACGTACCATTCGGTGATGGCGTATTACAATGACAGACAACACCCTGATACCTCTAAATTTTCGTCGATTTTGTGCGCGTGCTTGGATATAATTTGTTAAAGTGGGGCTTCGACCATCACGCTGTAGAGACCATGTTGCGACCATGCTCACCTGAATGTAAGCCACCTAAATGTTAAAAAAACATGACAAGCACTCATCTGTAGGATCCTCATGGTGCCTGGTTGCTATGACAGCCGAAGGTACCACCGGGGCTGAGACACAGCCATGTTGTTCAAGCCTAGACGGGAACTCTCGATGTGTTGAGGTAGGATTCGAGTCAGGATCCTTCCGGTAAAAACGCTCGTGCCTTAGCTAATTAGCCATCTAAAGCCACTACTGGCACATTAACTTTGAATCTTCAGCATGAGTCAGTTCAGATGTCAAGCATTAGTTGATACAGCATACAACTCAATATAATACAATGCGTGATTTAAAAACTGAAACATACTGCGGTCCTTTTGTAGCACCCGCTGTTGAAGAATGTAATAAACGAAAAGTCCGGCCAGTATTCATCTGATTCCTCTGTTACTAGAGGCTTCAGTTGCGCAAAAATGAAATTCAGTCCGGCCAGTATTCATCTGATTCCTCTGTTACTAGAGGCTTTAGTTGCGCAAAAATGAAAATCCTCAGTGATACAATCCTACTTTTTCTACAAGCTGTTGGTACCTGAAGACAAGTATGCTGTGTACCGGATAAACGGAAACCCTGATGTTGCCCACAAATAGTGTCGACATATGCATATCATCGGGTTAACGGTTAACCCACACGTACGGAACTCAGTTTGTTAGTCTCTGATCGAATTTACAAACCATCCTACCAAATGTTGCAACAGAACGTTGGATGTAGTGCAGCTAATGTATATGTTTTTGACATCAAATTTCAGTGGACCACAACTGTGACCCTTCCTAGAATAATTTTCTCTGGAAGTACAGGCTCTCAAATGACGTTCTACTTGAGGGCAGTTTGGGGCAACAGAGGAGATGGTTTAAACACTGAAATAAATCGTTAGTGGAATATTTATTATGATTCGAGCAGGTCTGTGGGACATTTTGAAGCCTAATATTTAATCACGTTTTTTGGTTTGGTACAGTGCTCTCAGATAAATTGAAGTTGTCAAAAAAGCGCAATGTTTTGGACTACGGGGAGCTGGTTTTCTTTATATCGTCTTTCAAAATAACATTCTAAGTTGAGTAATGAAAAAGACAGCGGCTTGAAAAAGGCAGCTTGAAAAAACCGTCCAAAGTTTGCGCCGCAAGATAACTCCTGGGATTTGATTGGTCATTGCCTTACAAGACCGTTGTATGTCTTCTGGTACCCTTGACTGGCAAAACTGATTGGTCATTCAGATCTGGCAAACGTATTCCATGGGAAAACCGAAACCCCGGTATTTAAGTGCTGATTCACTTGCTAGGCATTTGTAGTGAGACACTTTTCCAATTCGGTAAGTAGTAATCATTATTGTCTTGAAATTAGATTGTGTGGACCTGGATTGGTAAGTCGTTTCAAAGAATGCGCGCTTGGGTTGCCACCGAAAGTACTGTGATGACACTCCCAGGTGACTGTATGAGTTGGCCTAATTGCACAAATGAAGTTCATTTAGTTGACCGTATGAAAAGATTCTAGAATTTCATTAGACATTTCGTCTTGTGCTTAAACTATTCTAATCTAGAAAGCCGAGTAACACAGTGAATACATTTCTATACTTGTTAGAATCCATTAGCAGTGCGCATCTCTAGGGAGATTCAAACTCGCATCCTCTTCGTTGAGCCATTTGGCGGCCATCGGCTGGTCAGCAGTGAGATTAACTCACTCATGCTCTAAGCCAATAATTCAGATCACGTGGTCATGTAATGTCTTCTGAAGCAATGTCAATCGTGTGATAAAGTCGCACAGCAAAAATCATTTGGGCATTCACAATGCATTTGCCAGTTAATCAATAAAATTTTACTTGTTACAACGGATGCATGATGGCATAAATACGGGACTACATTAGATCCAATAACGTGTTTCGCCTTTGTAGATGGTGCAATGACTAAAGGCTGTGGAATGGCTACAATCCTTGGACCGAATTAGTAAACATCGCCCGGCAAACGCAACACAGATTGGCGGTCAATAGGAGAAGGCTTTCCAACGAGCGCTGGCATGGTAGACGAATCTGTTAATACTGATAGATGGTGACATCGAAAGGAAAAACGAGGTCCTAATTTAACAGTCCTTGACAACTCATCAGGCTAGACTCATAAAGACTTGATTAGGGATGGGCAACCATGGTGGTCACTACGTCATTTGAATTCACGTGTTGACCAATGATTTATAAAAGGGTGCACTTGAAGTCGGGAAAAGTGGAAAAGGGAAAGTGGAATGCTCTGTTACATGGATCCATGTCTTCATCAAAGGGGATCACAACGATACTAGGCAGATGATCGTCTTGGGACTTGTCAAGCATTTTATAACTGGTAATGAGTCTTGAATACTCAGTTCCTAATACCAAATTACTCACCATACCCGCCCAGAAATTGCATGCCAGTAACTGGCGTCTATGCTCAGATTGTTACCGTTATATTATCTATTTATACCTGTCGTTTCGGTCTTTTCTCCAAATAAACTTATCGTATTATGCATCCATAAGTGTTGGATCCAAACAGTATTTATGAATCCTCACCAGTAATTCCGTTAAAAGACATTCTTCACACACCAGAAACAGTTGACTGATAGGTATAAACTACCGACCTTGTCGTTGGTTATATTTTTTCATATTTTTTGTAATCTGACCTGCGTCTTTCGAAAACCCTGCTTAAGTCAACAAATCTCATTTTTATACCAGTTTCCCCAAGAGACCTTTCATTCTAGCGTGCGTCTTTCGAAAATCCTGCTTAATTAAACAAAACTCATTTTTATAAAAGTTTCCCCAAGAGACCTTTCATTCTAGCGAGATTGTCATGGCTTTCGCTTTCACTTATAACCATTCCCTTCTGTGTCTTCCAAATATAAACAACGGTGTTTGAGTTCGAATCAAATCAATTTGCGGCACGCAACACCATTAAACACGAAAACTAATCTCATCGGACACTTACACGTATAAATGTTATTCAGTGCTGGGAATATGACCACGATGTGGTCACGTGGTCACGTGAATGGGAATGGTGTCAGCGACCTGCTTTTCCTTTCGATTATTCGTAGAACCGACTGGAAGCATATTTTTCTAATTGCGGTGACGCCTGATTTAATAAGGATGACATTTAGATGGGGCGCACATAGTGGTTAGCCTTCTACAAATTCTAGGGTTCCAATGACACTAGCTAATCAGAGAGCGTTGATGGGCTCTCGTCTCCTTGAAATACGACGTTATTTGCTTGAAGAAGTGGAGGTATTCATACAGAAACGGAGAATTTGACTCGCACGAAACCGACCTTTCTATGGGATAGACTACAAGATGAAGTGGCGTAACAATGACTAGTAACTATTGAAATCTGGACAATTTGCGCACTCGCGAGTAAATTGCACAATACGATTCGACAACTGCGTCCACCCGACCTAACCAGTTGATAGTACTAACTACCCGATGATTACTCTTATGCATATAAGCTGAAAAATGGAACGTCGTCAGTTATTTCGTAGATTGATAGGCATTATCTCTGAAGAAAAGCACCGTTTTCACAAATATAAGCTGTCCAGTGCTACTATCTTTCCATTGCTTGATGTGCTTTGAACTAATTTTCATATTTACAAAACATTTCAGTGATTAAAGTCACCATGTGGATTTCCATCCTCTTCTTGCTTGCTTGTATTTATCTGCACAACACTCATGTCTATGGCGTTCGGACCGGAGGCTATTCACGTCCCAAATGTCCGACCAAGGATCAACAGAATATGTTTTCTTCTGTGGTAAGTTGGTAATCTATTAACTGGTTCATTTTATTCTCCAAAATTCGCAGATTCAAAGACATGGTGGAAAATATGGATTGCCCGAGAGTTCGAAATTGAAGCTATTACAAGTAGAAGTGCAAATGGTTATGGGGAAAAACTTCAGGGGGCTGGTAAGTTGTCACGAGCATATCCTCAGATTTTGCGAACTTTTAGGTACGCATGAATGGGAAAGGTTGCTACAGTGTTGTGATTCACCAAGCCATCCCTCAAAACCAGGGTCAGACGGGGCCTCGCACTATCCGTTCTGCCGAAGAGGTTGACTGTCAACAAACCATCACATGTTAAGTTTACGACTTGAAGCCATAGCTTTATTCGAATAAAGAAACGTTTGCGCAACCAAAGATGCAGTCTTCTAAAACATGAAGCAAAAATTGACAAGTTGGGGTGAGTCATCTCGATGTATTGGTCTGGCACGGACTCTTTGTGATCAGGAATACTTTTCCTGCGTTTCCGACGACCTCAAAATCGCCATAGGTGTGTTAGTGAGACCAAGTTAGCCAGGGTCTATTTACGTTTTTCGAAACCGAGCTTATGGTTAGTTACACCGAACGTCCACGGCGTCCTGCTCCCACGAACAGTAGCACGGCTATAGTCTGAACGACGGGTGAGTAGAATATGTAAAAAAACACTACTACCGACCATAACTACTCTGTCGTTTCACGCTTGATATTTGTGGAAAGCTGAGTTTTGAAACGTATAGTAGTGGCACTGGTCTTCACTGTCATATTGGGAACAAAACGATATGACGTTTGAACTAGTATTTATCATTGATACATTCATAGGATTCGTGGCGAAAAAGAAACCGTTTCACATAAATAAATGAAATGAATAAGACGATGCTTGCTCGTACCAATTCTTGAATGATTGTGAGTTGAGCAATAGGCTGTTTTTTTTTTTTCTTGAATTATTTTATTTTTTAAAATTATGTTTAGTTGCTCAGTTCCTGATGAATGCTCAGTAAATAGCGCTACAGTTTGGTATACGAATTGCAAAAAATAGGTCAGTAACCCTACATATTTCTTCAAGTCACTCCCTATCAAGAACAAATTCAGGTGCCTCAATGAGCGCATTCTAAGCACAGGAACTCGTGCCGAACATAAAAACCGGGATCCCAACTGATACAGTGGTAGAAATGCACCCCTAAAGAAATAATTTCAGAACGAAAACACGAGATGAGAGCGAATCAAGCAATGACTTTCAGAACGAAAACACGAGATGAGAGCGAATCAAGCAGTGACTCAAGCTTAACACGACATCAAATCATGTACGGATTCATCTAAGTGCGTGTACACTGGCCCGTCCGGGTAGACGTTCCAATTGGGCTGCGTGCTTAAAGTCTAAGGAGCGTTAAATAAAATTGGGTGGCCTGGACTATTCTTCGGGCTACATTTATTACAAGCATCAAGCGTACTCGCTGGTTACGAAACTGACCGTGTCACTATCGCAGATTCCGCAGCACTCAAAGTTACTTGTACTACTATTATCGCCCAATTTTGAAGAGCATGGTTAGAAACATAAAAAACGTGTATTCAAGCGATGGACAAGGAAGGTTGTACAAAAGACTACTATTTCAGAATGTTTGATACGGAAACAAGCTATAAAGAGCAGCAGTTTAAGAAGGAAAAAGAATGTAGGCAGAGAGCTCAAAGTGGCAAGTAAACATAATCCACTATGGCTTTGGTGAGTTCTAGTCCATAACAGCCATGGCGGACCAAGGAAATTAAGTCTCTCGAAATGAAACTATCAGCGGTTGGTGAACCGAAAATCAACGTCACAATCGATTGTACGTAGGACCGAGATGATGGTAGCTTCTCACTCCGCAGTCGCTCCGCGCTTCCTTCTGTCACAGTTTCTCGGTGCTTCCGAACAGTGATTAGGGTCAGGCTTAATGAAAAACGTCGAGTTGGGTGATCCCAACCCTCCGAAGACGGTTTGTCCCAGGCTGCGGGGACGTTTCGCGAATTTTTTTGCAGCCCGATCATGACAAGTACATCTAGAAACATGCGCAGTCCAGAAAGACTGCAGGATATGCACTTAATCCTCCTATTTACCAGTTTCCACGATGGCAAATCGTCTATCCACTACGACCACGCTGGACGCTTTTAGATCTCATCCTAATCAAGCTGCATCAAAGCTGCATACCACGGACAAATATCCGAATAAACACACGTTCTGGAAACACGCTGTCGATTCGCAAGAGGCGAAGCAACCCGCTCTCGTAAACCACAACCGTCAACGCTATTGTGCAGGATATCGTCCCAAGCGGACGGCGAATCTTCCTTACTGTTTACGCATGTACCTGGGAGTTAACTTGGAACGCTAAGATCTCAGGCAACCTTGCCAAATGCGGAATCATGGACTACATTCCGCGCGCTCGGTAGACAGAAGCATTTCCACACAGCTGTCCGCTGCATTTTGACGGTTGAACCATTACCTGGGGTAAAAAGGATTCATCATTGTTACCAGCGTGGATGTGGCTGACCGAGGTGGCTAACCACAAGTAGATTCTCCGGTGTAATTGTCCAATCTTTCGAGCGTGATTCGGTGGACTTGCCCCGACAAAGTGAACATGTCAGCCTCGGTATCAGGTAGTTCCTTGTAATCTCCATTCTTTGATGCGACTTCCGTGGGGCACGCGTCACCTCATAGAGCAACGGCTGGTGGTGGTTGCAGACTCCTTTCCCTTTGAAAGTAAACTGGACGACATAAAAGTTACATTGTCTGTCGGATACAGAGAACTGATGAGTTCCTCGGCGAAACAAAACGTTTCGCCTGAGAATACTACTACTCACATTTACTTCAGTTACAGCAACCATCATGTAAATTGCCAGGAAATATGATAGAACAGCACATACAGTTGTGAATCTGAGGGTAAGATTTGGATGGGTGGACAGGGCCGTGAGTCTGGGGCATAAAACTATGTCGACTGAGTCAGGTAAAAAAAATCTAAACACGAGGCGACCCCCTGAGGTGAACAGCTAGAATAAACCTGGAATTGGATAAATCACCTTATTGACCAAGTTATTTTGATGATGTCGCGTCGTGTTGCTCTGTGCAACTTTGAGTAAGTCAGCATGCTTCCATCCTGAGGCATTCTCAAGACTACTTTAATAATTACTGCATTTAATGCTGATCAAGCAGGCAGCCAGACTACGGTCTACGAGGTGATTTCATCTTGTTCAGAGCCACTCAGTACGAGAGGAGAAACTGTTTCTCCTTTCGTGCGCAAACCATATCATATATCTAATTGCATACTAATAAGTGTGAGCATGGGAGTGGTCCAGTGACAGTAATTAATACTACGCAAATAGCTGGTCTCAATAGATGACCGAATGAAAATGCCAGAAAACACACGCACCTGTCTGCCCATAAAACGGTTGGCACGGTGATACGCAGTTCATAACCTAAATACGTTTGCTCGCCAAAGCTAGAGGTCTTCTGTGGACTTTTTGTGCCAGGATCATAAGTTTTAATCAGACCCCCTGGAACACGCTGAGCTAGGCACACTATAGTTTCAATCGATCGCGTTCTCTGTGTTAGGTTTACACCTAACAGTGGACTACAAAACACGAAAGTAGCTCTTTGTCACCTGACCCGATTTTTTCCTAAAGCGTACCAGACAAACTGCATCCACAAGCATAGTACAACAGCCGGAAACCCATTATTATTGCGATCGTCAATTCCCTGAGCAACAGTTAGCAGTATTTCCAACAAACTGATATTACGCAAATCGCAAACCTAACCCAGATTGCCCCAAAAATCCCGAGAAAAGATTCTGAAGTACTACTTCGTCAAACAACACTAGTGGTTTCACAGTAGTTTAGCTGACCAGATGACGTACGTCTAAGAGCCTATAACCAACGGCTCGTAACTTACCAGAATATTACTATTGAAGCCCGCTGTGCATCCAGGAGGCTACAGACAGGCCATTCAAACTTTATTCGCTTACCATAATACTCAAAAGTAAGCCGGAAACTCTCCGAAATCCCGAAACCCGGTTATCTCTTGTTTGGACCTTCGGCTAGGTGCAGTCCCCGAGTTTCAACTAACCGTGTGTTCTACTTGGAAACCATTCATTAATGTGTTCCGTCAGGATAATATATTGCGAAGGTCAAATATCGTGAGATTAGCACGCCGTTGTGCAACGCATTCAGTTGAGAATCGAGGTTCCCGGTAGTTCTAAAGTAACTTAAGAATGGGTGAACTTAGCCAAGCACATGACTTTCATTGCATCTGTCGCAATTAAACTGCTCCAGATTTCCCATGGTCCCCATGTAAACCGGCTAGGAATCTTTGAGCTGTCTGAGGCCACGGTTCATAAAATCAGACAGTTCGTTCTTTGAATAACGGTAGTGGCACACTGTTCTTTTGCGTTGATGTTTTTTGCCTTCTAATAGGAACCCAAAACAGCAGGGGCGGGACATCCACCGGGTTCACTGGGAACGTACAGCCAAAGCCGTGTTGTTTAATGTTATTGTGAAATACTTACATAGACCAGCGATGTGTGTCGTTCACGGTGTTTTCCACCAGAAGTCAGTTGTCGTTCCATATTTAACATTTCTTCCCACAAAAGTGGGGGTGTGATGACCCAGGTGTTTAGAGCGCGAATTTACTGACCGGAAGGTCCGCGGTTCGAACCAGATCTCTGCCTCTCGACTTTCCCTGTCTAGGCTTGGGTAACCTGGCAGTATTCCCGGCCCTCGTACTTCCTTCGGGTGACATGAAGCTAGGCACCGAGGGGGTTTTACAGCTGAGCGATCCCACAAAAGTTGGGACACAGAAGTCGGTATTCAGCGTTCGTAACTCTTAGGTCTTGGGAAGCATGGCAGCGTCAATAACAAAACGCATCACCTAATCGGCTCAGCTAGGTTAAAATTCGTTACAGCGTGAGATGCCTGGGAAGATGACGTAGTATCGACGGGACTATGGACGCTCAGGAATCAACGCTGTAGCGACTACTAAGTTCAGTACCGATCGCTGGAAAAAAGAGTTCTATGTTTCGATTGCGCTGCATCAGTTCACTCAGCATGCTCATGACCAGCCCTATCACTGCACCGAGCATAATCAGATTTCAAAGTGTACCCAGCTCAATCGAATGACATGGCTGAGAAGTGCTGATGAACTGATGACTAAAACAAAAACCCGCCTGATACCGTAATTCACCCTGACTGAATCACATCTTTCTATCGTGCTTTAGGCCAATTTACGTATAATTTCAAACCCGGACGTCCACCATTCATGAAGTGTGGCACACGTGTGCTCAGGCAACTGACGAAATACACCACTGTCCACGTGAATCACTAGACGTTACTGATTTGAGGAGCGTATCAAACCGTGATCCTAAGGTTGCGAGGAAACAAGCGAATTTTGCTAAACTAGGTAGTGTGTGTCGTCGTGTGAACTTCCCATCAGCAAAAACTGTGCCCTAATACATCACAGAATCGTCACCGAGAGCTCATAAATTCTTCCTCAGTTATGCCATTGACACACTTATGCATCAGTAACAATCAAGTTAATTCCACTCATCCGTAGATAAGTCCCAGGTGTCTCGATCTACCGACCAGTTATTGATGATCCGAGTATTCTACATCGGTCTTGACAAGTAATTGGCCAATCTTCTTGACTAGAGTGCAAGGTCCGAGTAATAATCACTTGCATGTCACATGTAACCTAACATAAAACTGTACACTATTCAATACATGCGCTGTTGTAAATTTATCGGTGAGGACAGTCGTTTTATTTGTTGACTTGTTATCTGTTCGGAACACTCAGCGAAGGGTCCTACCAACATTTTGCGCCTTTCAGCCATATTATTCGCGGAAATTTGATTCAACTGAGTACCCAAACCCAAATGTAACTCTCCAGTGTTGATTACCAAGATGCTCCAGGACAGGTTCTTTTTCCAAATACGTGTCGCACAAGGAACCTGTCACGCCAAAAGTTGTTCTTCCAGGCTTTGCAGCTGGCAGTTATCTTTAACAGCGGAGCTCGACAAGAATGGTGCACAGCTGATTTACTTTGATATCCACACGGACCAAAATTTGAAAGTATGCGTTGCCTGACAAGGATGATGAATGTTTTCGTTAAAGTGTGGGCACGTATACACCATGTTTGGATGGCTTATGTGAGGTTTTGGCCAGAGCCACAGTCACGTTTTGAAGGTAAATATATCGCACGAACTTGAGGTAAGTAAACAGTTTTTAGGTGATTCTTGATAAGCTATGTGAACTTGATTTCAACCCCCCCCCCCCCCCCAATATCGCACGAACTTGAGGTAAGTAAACAGTTTTTAGGTGATTCTTGATAAGCTATGTGAACTTGATTTCAACCCCCCCAAAACGGTTTGTGAGCGAGCTCAAGAGAAGCCACGATATGCACAGTTTGTTTACGCTGATCTCGTAATTTCTTAAAAATCAGAGAAACGGCTTCAAAATCAGAAAACATACAAACATTTTCACAAATTCACCGGAGCTAAAAGCTTCGATGACCAACTCCCAAAATTATTGTACAAATCGTTCCTGTTAAAGATGAAGAGAATAGTCAATATCATGTTGATGATCGTTTCCAATCCCATTTCGCACACAAGACATCATACCAGTCACTTGCTACGGGTGGAGACTGTGAAACCAAGATACGCCTTTCGGCAGATGCAAGCAAGGTTGAATAGCACTCAGCCGTCACCTCACGACGGGTGTGTCCAACAGAAGCGACAGCGCACAGGCTAAACGGTTGATCGTTTTGTCCCCTTCCAGAAGCAATCCAGAATAGACTGTGACGTAAATTGAGCATGGCATCTAATTTCAATGATTCTGGGACTTCCGGATAGACATACTGCATTACATCCGATTCGTTGAACCAACGATCAAGTGGTTGACTCTGCAGGAATTCCATCGTCTGGAATTTCATGGGCAAAAAAACGACCGTACAGGAAGTTGAATGCTTGGTGGTGGGCTATCCTAACTAAGCATTGATACTCAAGAAAAAATGGACGAGAACACTAAGGCTATGGACCGTTCGCGAAAGAAGCTGAAAGAGGCGATTCACCATCATCGTCATCATCAGACAATGAACGGCAAACTACACAACCTTTCGGCCGAGAAGCATTTTGATTCGAGGAACACAGGGCAAGCGATCATATCTGTGCAGTCATTCCGTTTCGTTTGTGTTCATCAGGTGAGCCGTAAAAAATCAAGTAGCATAGCTGAAAGAGCACCTATTCACAAAGGATGAGCAAGGAATTCCAATGCATCAAAAGCTCACGACCGGTTTCACCCTTTTTGAAGCTCAACCGGTAGGCACAGTTCCCGAGTTTCCGTTAACCATATGTCCTATTTGACGAAATTAGCGAGATAGACTCATTTACAAACAAATTTGGTTTCGCGAGAGACTCACCTGAAACCCATCTGAATCTCTCGTTTATGTGGCAACTGGAAAATGAGACGGCCTGATGCAGCACATTTAGCTGCCTGGAAACGTCACAAACAAAAGATTCAGTTGAGTTCGAGGTGTACCTCTCGAAAAACCAAATTTGTTTGCAAATGAGTGTAGTTCGCTAAATTCCAATCAATCCTGAAACTCCATCTTCGACACCTATGACCTCCTCTCATCCCAAGACGTTTTACACCTGGATAATGATAGCAAATGGATGACTGATTTGTGAAATAGAGTCACGATAACTGCAAGTTATGTTGTCCAACCCTGAAATTATCCCATATCTCTTGTGGAGCACAGAAAGACACAGTGATGGTTCCAGACCATCGTGAACGTGCATTCACACAGGACTTCAGAAACGTATCGCTCTAACTTGCGTGCACATCAGTCGGACCACATGTACTTTGAACGTATCCTAAAACGAAAAACATACGCTTTGGAAGACGTTGATCTATTTACACCACCGGAATCACACCATGAAGGTTGACCGAGTTCTGACTGAAGAGGAACTACCTCCCTGCCAGTTCAAAACGACAATCGGATAAACCCACAGAAATTCTCCACAGACTAAGTTCCCTCTTCCTTTTGACTAGAATATTCGGACTAGAAAGTCAGCTTTGTCCAGGGAAGTAATACAATCTATTCAGCGTTTTTGTTGACCCATTCGGTTGACCCACACACACACACACACACACACACACACAGATCATTGAACAACCCGCGGAGCATGACACATCATCAGATGAGCACGAATCGTATATAACTTTCTAAACTTTCAAGAATGGATAACGGTTACGCAGCTGAAATCGGTGTAATGAGGGACCGACAGACGACTAACGAATTTCGTACTATATTTGTCAAACTTCCAATGCAAATTATCCAAAGCTTGTGTGAAGTTGTAAGTACACTTAAATGAGACTCTCACAACCCATGAGTCTTTGGTGTTCACTTAATATTTGTTTGCACGCCACAGTGGTCGTACTTTCGTACACGGGAAGAAGCTAGATGAGCTCAACCACCAAGAGGAATCTCCAGTTTTGCGAAAATGAGAGGCTTCCTAGCTGAGGCTGGTATTCACGTGTAAAACTGACATATGAGCCCGAAGGCTTCCTCGTCCCCTTGTTCGCTTTGCAAACTACAGTCGGCCACATATGGATAAAAGATATTGTCCAAAACAGCATCCAACGGGGGTTCCGTTTGTAACTAATCATTGTGAAACTTTAGAAGCTCATTGTCAGGAGTGAAGGAATTGATCGTTGAGCAGTAGAGCAGTTCAAATCCACAGTCATAATGCTGCAAATTCTATCGAAAACAAACCAAGGTTAGTGATCTCATCCATAGGCAACATTCCAGAAGATCGCTTGCGAACCTTATTAATGCGAGACTGCCGGTTGACGATGTATTCGTCAACCTTGCCCAACGCATCATTTGACTCGACACCGTGGGAAGGTAAGAGTAGGAGAGGTTCTTCGGACTGACCCATTGTTCTTTCCACCAGAGCACGCAACACACAAAGTGAATTCATGTACGCTGGCAAATCTTGCACTGTTGTACTCCCATGGCCTGCAAAAAGGCAACGAAACGAAGAGAACGATAATGCGTAAGAAATTTGCTCCTAAAACTTATCTAAAAAAAACAACTGCGTCATCAACAAGCCAAAGGAAATACCGGCAATCTAAAAAAACGACGAGCCCCTGGTTCCATAAGAAATGTGATACGATCAGTCACTGAACTGCCTGTAAAAACGGGAGTGCCCTGCAAATGAGAAATTATTGTATGAGGCTTAAGTCTATTTCTTGGATTGGTCCGTATTACACCTGCATGACACGTTGTACAATATCAGCACGCCGATCTGAAATCATATCAGATCAGGTCTTCAGGGAAGGTTGTGCCAGTCGATCAGTAAACATAAGCCGACGAAAAAAGCATTGTTCAGACGTACTACACTACACATAATGTTGCTGAAAACAGCCCATGACCGGTTCAAGCCTCCTTGAGGCTCATCGGGTAGGTGAAGTCCGCGAGTTCCCGTCAACCTTATGTTTTTTTGAACCCATATTGCACAAAATTCGACTTATACACTCATCTGCTAGAGCACTCATCTGTCCAAGATCATAAACAATAGATACAAATGAGTTCTAGGTAAGTCGCCCGTGAAACACAAAATTCGTATGCAGATGAGCGCATAAGTCATACAGGCATTGTTGTTGTGTGATGTCACCCTCTTCAAATGGTCCAAGAAACATCAGCTGTCCTTCGTAAGATTCTATGGAGTACAATGTACCGAAGTCGTGTACTTTTCCTTGGGAAGTAACTATGTTTGGAACTTGGTCAATAAACCGCCGAATTCTTAAAACCCAGTGTATTTTCAAGCGAGGCGGAAGGAAACTCGCCAAGTAATGAGTGGATAAGCTTGAGTACACGCAGCATGAACACCAAAACACGGCTGAAGGAGTGAAACCGCCAACCTCCGGTGAACTACCGGACAGCTGACTTACCGATGGAGCTACCGAGAATGCTCACTCTTTGAAAAGAATATTGTTTGCAAAGACGTGACGCTGCATATCCTCAAAACGATAAGGAATTCAACGGGGATTCTTGTACGAAAAAATTTGAAGACCGTGACGATCACATCCCCAGCAGTTACTGATCTGTGTTGACAGTTAGTAATGTCGATATCTATTTATTGTCTCTTTTCAGCCTTCTCTCGGCGTTTCACACGAAAGCCACCGACCAAATGAGCAGTTTAGCTACAGATGTCCTTCCACCTGACAAAACAAGGTAGTTCTTGACCACAGGGTTGGGAAACGGGTCAGCTGGGGTTGTGAGAATAACGCTTTTATAGAGGCAAAACGTGGTCAATCTTGGAAACTTCTGATAAGAACTTTGATCTGCTTCTGGTTCTCTTGTGACAGTTATCTTGGTCTCTCATATTAGATTACAAGAATTCTCGCCTTGAAAATCGCGCCCAAAATTGCACCAATCCTACACCCAACCCCGCACGAAGAACTGGAAACAGCACCAAAGAATTAGAGAACTATAGTGACTTTCCTGAGCCATTTGAGCTAGTAAAAGGGGAGATATTTCATCGAATTTATTCCAAATCGTGAAACGCCGAAATCAGGACAAAAAAGGTGAACCACCGTCGTATTAGCCTTGGAGTTTAGGAAAATTCAGCAAAGCGGGCGAGAAAGTGTCTGGATTAGTTGTCAAACAGACAAACAATCAAGTTATCGCCTATGGAATCACAAAAAGACATCACAATAATTTACCTCACAGGCAAGTGGAATTTGCAGCAAAACTGCTCCGGTAAACTCGATAGCAAACGTTTCATCATACGTACGCCACTGCGTAGCGAAGCGTTGTGTACATCAACAGGTGCGTACTGCGCATTGGTTTGCGTGAGTTCAGAAACACACAAATGAACTTAAAATATGACTGTTACCCGGTTTTCTATTGGCTGCCTGATGGGGGCTTATTCCGATTCGCCGATATCTATGTGGTCTTCGAGATATGCTTGTTTGATTCCCGTTCTTTGGGCGACACTCAAATTGAACTCTCCATCGTTCACACTGGTGGGACATTTGCGGGCGATCCTGTTTCTCGATTTGTGGGCTGAAAATTAGGTTCACTTGAGTGTCATAGTTGAACTCCTTGACCTTCGCGACTACTGTCAGTTGACCGAATTAACCATCAAGCATCATGCCCCTCCTGCCTGTTTTTCCAGAGGAATCCAAGACCTCTTTTCCGGAGATCAAATCGTCTCACAGTCTTTCATAAGTTACTAATAGAACCTAATGTACAAACAACGCCGTTTGCAACTCGTTTCGAGGTATAACAGTTTCCACCGAGAAAAGTTGGAAATCATTTCCTCCAACAAGAAACATCTACCGCGAAACCATTCGTCAAATGGGAAAACCAAAAATCAGGTTCTAAGACCAACTCGTAATCCCCGTTTTCAATGACTTACATTGATATGACCTTCAGGGAAGAAAGTATTGCTACCCCTGAGTGCAACGACCCCTGGCTGACAGTATGTTTTATGATGCAAGAACTAGGACAGTGGATGAAAATACCAAGAGAAATTTGCCACCTTGATAGCACTTTATCACCCCTGCGAAATCGAATTTTGTTCACCGAGACGAAAGCGATCAATAAACGAAATCACAGAAAAGTCCACTGTAACAAGAATTCGTTACAACATAAACCCATTGTTAAGGGAATCACCTAACTCAAATTGGATGGCTTTGACGGGACTGAAAATTGCGGACACTATGATGGAACCTTCGTTCGTCCGGCGTTCTAATGAGCATTGATTCTACTTGTCACCGAAACTGAGGAAGTAACCAGTTGAATAGTCACGCATTCAAAATACACAAAATACTTGGAGCTACGCCAAAACCGTCACACACACACATTTCACCGTCCAGTTCTCGCAGAAAACTTTGACTAAATGTGTAGTCACGAAACGGTTTTCTGTTCAACAGAAGTGGTAATTTCACGGGTAAAGGAAAGTATGCTAAGAATACTCTATACACTCCACCGCGCCGGTATTCGGCAGAGCAAAGATCATCGGTGAAAGTCACATTCTTTTAGCGGGTTTCTGTAAGTAAATGTGAGACCGATAAGAAACCTTTCATTCCGTTAAGTATAGTTGAGAGTTGAACGTCCACGCCGATATGATCAAATACTGCTCCATAGAAGCAGAAATCTCGAGCGCCTTGCACAACTGACATGATAGACAGGTGGCATACGTTGAAAGCAACAAAATCAAACACAGAATCGAATGTGTATCGAAACAAATTCCAAACCTGGCCAGTGTAGACAAGCTGAAAACTTTGCTTTCAAAGGGCTTAGTGTCTTCCAAACCGGCTCAAGTCTGACGACAGAATGAAGAGAAACTTTTAGGATTCGAAACGGAGTTATACATAAAAATACAACAGTATGGCGGAGCCGAACAAACTAATAAATTGATCGGTTATGTTTGAACTGATTTAGACCTGAATTCTGTTCAAACTCTGTCGCCACAGTGGCCGTACGACTGCACAACAATTTAGGATGGATAAGCCGTTTTTTTCAATTTACAAAACTGTAAGCCATTCAATACGATGAGCTGACGTCCGCCTCCCGGTGTAAATCCGTGGGAGTAAGACCGGAAGGTGAAATGGAACGAGTAGTCCGATAACCATCAGCATGCCTAGCTGGTGATCCATAGCTGTCAAGTGAATGGAGAACAATTCAAAACACCCCGCGGATACGAAAGGTGGTCTGACATCTCTTCCAGATCAGTCGACCGACTTCCTCGAGGGGCTCTTTTCGCACAACCACGTGAAGGGTGGAAGAGAGCCAGAGGCGGTCAAACAATGACTTGGCAGCAAAGCATAAGAGCCATTACCAGAAAACTCAGCTTCGCTGGTCATTGCCGTCTTCCTGGATGAGGACTCCAAGACGGGCCATATCAATGGTTAGAGACATTGTCAGACATGGCCCAGTCATGCCCTCAATGGCGCTCATGCATCCAAGCTGTTGCCTTCAGTGCACAGCTCCCTTCCTAATCACCCCATTTAACAGTCCACCCACAGTGCTGTATCTACGCACGAATTTATCAGCTCTCACCTCCAATGCGCAGCTACCTACCCCACCTCCCCGAATCATCGTCGAACGAAACTGTGGCAGCTACAATCACTGTACGACAAGTACGCAGCATTTTACGATTGGATGATGATGGCATCTCTGCAACTCAAAATACACATGGCACACTGATGCTGGCCGTATTCAGCTTGATCAGTAGACCAGTAAACACAGAGCGCAACCCCTGGGAACGTTGTAGAGCGGTTGGGGTGAGTCCTTCGCCAATCAGACAAACTTACTAGAAAGTTACCTCGGTGTGATAGAACTTAAATCAGTAGAATAAAATTTAATATCAGGAACGTGACTTAAATTTGATATAACATTAAAAAATGGAAACCCAGGTACCAAAACGAAAGACCTTCGGTTAAGATCCATTCAAATGGTGATCAGCCGGAGAACAGCGAGGGCTTTCCGCTGCCCAAACAGGAGAGCATTCAGTGGGGCGTTTTCTGACGTATAACTTCCATGGAACACATGGCAAACAGTGAGTATAGTTCCGGTCGAGGTAAGCTGGGAGCACCTTACGAAGAACCATAGAGCCGTTATGAGTTTGTTTCGAGACAGGAATGGAACGGCATGGATTTTTTGCACTAGGAAGACGAAAACCTGCTGGGTTGTTTCTGGTTGTCACCGGGATGTTTGTCCGACTAATGAATTGATCGACAAAGCGCCATTTAGAAAACAGCACAGAAGAGGGAAAAAACCCTGTCAGTAGTAGAATTACGGTACTCACCTAGAATCGTGTCTCCAGTGAACAGACAAACAGGACTGCCGTTCCGCTCAAGTGCAAAGCAAACATGATCAACAGAGTGTCCCGGACACGGAATCACACGGATGTGGACGGCATTCGAATCACTCACTGGAACAGGTATGCACTGATCCGCTTCTAAATCACAGATATCTCCTTGATAGAAATTGAGCTTCTTCAAGTTCGGTCCCCCGGGAAATTTATAGACGGGTATAGGTTTTGTGATGCCTGTGTTACGTCTGGCTATTTCGTGGACGAGGTCCTATATGCAGGTGAATACGAAGTAATTTACAGTTGGGTTGCGGCAGAAGTTCAAACACACTTGTACATTTCCAAATACAGCTCATATGACTTCGGGAGCCACTGGACTGAACTTGAAGCACTATTTTGAAGGCCGGGTTTTCGAGAAATTTGAAAAAAAAACTGGCGTGGGATGAGCCTGGGAACTGTCAACCTGGAATAGGTAGGTTGGTAGATGGAACGTGAGCATCTTGGGTACACTTAGGTTTCTCAGTCATTCGTCACAAGATTCCCTTAGCATGGAACCATGCTGAGATGGGAGACACGGGGTGTCAACCTAAGAGAACAGATAAAGGCTGTACACATAGTCCAAGGGACAGAAACGCTTCTGAAGGAGACGCCGCAATGAGGCTGCTTTCATTTGCTTTCGACAGATCAGTAGTATGAGAATTATGACAACGATAGAAAGCTGAAACAAGAATCGATCGACAAAATGGGAAATTGAAAAGATATTAGAGCTTAGTGTACTACATCACCTTCAAGTTCGACCTTTCAAAGTTGGCTTGTGAGTTTCAATAAAAATGCCAAAGTTTGTGAGGTTCATGTCACAGGAAACTCAGTTGTTCGTTCTTCTGGAACGGATATTTGCAGGCCTGATGAGAGGTTATCTCTTGGTTATTCTCAAAAAACAATTCACATTGGGCATAACTGTACCAGGGAAAAAGATAGCCAAAATATCAGTGGAAAAGTTTAGATTAATCACGTCATTGACCGGCCACTCGGTATACCGCATAGACTTCCCTGGAGGGTTACAGATCCGATTCTCTTTCACGATCAGACAGCTGCGAAAACCTCATATGACGTGAAGGAGACGCCGCAATGAGGCTACTTTCATTTGCTTTCGACAGATCAGTAGTATGAGAATTATGACAACGATAGAAAGCTGAAACAAGAATCGATCGACAAAATGGGAAATTGAAAAGATATTAGAGCTTAGTGTACTACATCACCTTCAAGTTCGACCTTTCAAAGTTGGCCTGTGAGTTTCAATAAAAATGCCAAAGTTTGTGAGGTTCATGTCACAGGAAACTCAGTTGTTCGTTCTTCTGGAACGGATATTTGCAGGCCTGATGAGAGGTTATCTCTTGGTTATTCTCAAAAAACAATTCACATCGGGCATAAATGTACCAGGGAAAAAGATAGCCAAAATATCAGTGGAAAAGTTTAGATTAATCACGTCATTGACCGGCCACTCGGTATACCGCATAGACTTCCCTGGAGGGTTACAGATCCGATTCTCTTTCACGATCAGACAGCTGCGAAAACCTCATATGACGAGCAACAATAAAAGAGTTTCACAGCACTTTTGGGTTCTATAGGCCTTGTATTGTCTGTGCGAGGCTGGATCTTCAATTTCGATGCTAATATTCAGCATAATTGTTTCACAAGTGCGATTCACTCACCAATACAGCGCCGACACCCTCTGTGTGGTCTGGATGCCAGTGCGTCAGCAGTACTGCCGAAAGAGGTGTTGCAGTAGTACACAGTTCCAGCTCCGTCTTCAAGCTATCCAAATAGTTTTGAAGCCCTCTTCCTTTGCTAGTTGTATCGATTAGCACGCGACTTAAGCTTGACGCACCGACCACGTACGAGTTAGTTCCCTGAAGATCATGAAATACCAGTCACATGGGAGATTATTCACTTCAGACAGAAAATTAAGGAAATATAAAATATATTGCGAACTTGCTCACATTTATTTACAACACTGCGCCATAATATAGAGAAAAAACAGAAGGCAAGGAGTTCGCAAACAGCTCAAGTAAGTTCTTTCGCGGATTGATATGAACTTACATTCTCGATCTATGGACAACAAAACAGCAGTGACATTTCGCTTCCCTTCAACTTACGCACTCCAGTCAGTGAGAATGGACTGTTTCTGAAGATTTTAGGTCATATCTTCAAACTGGCACCTTTAGTTGTTGGTCGCTTCTGTTCCGCCCTAGTCAAATTCGCACTGAAGATTCTGCAATTCCATACCATCTCGCCAATGTTGCATTTCTGCGAGGAAATACCCGCTACTCATGCCACCTAAGTAGATGAAAACATATGTGAAAATACATTTTCACGACCTTCGATGCTTTGGGGTTCCTGTAGAGTGGGTGTTTGCCTAATTTCCAATGCATAATACACCAGCTTGCTACACAGACCTCAATGAAAATGACGCGTCGATTGGTGCAAAAAACCCATGAAGCCGCAAGGTTAGACTTGATAAGTGTACTAAAAACAACCTGCCTACCTTGTTCAGTACAGCATATGTAGACTAGAAGGAAGGTTGTCCGTCACAAACGTCTTGTGTTGGAAACTATCGAGATTGGAGTTGTCGCACCAGTGCCCACGATGGCAGGATGACTCTGTAGCCTACTGAGAGTTTGTAAAGATAGTGTCCTCATACAACGAACCTTGGTCATTACTTACCGGCCGTACAAGTAGTCCGCAGTGTGGCTGACGGAATCACTGTTTTCCTGGTGTCTTATGTAACGACGACAAATACCGTTGTTATATCCTACATATAAAGCAAGTAACAATAACAATACGGATGCTATAAATAATGGACAAATTACGAACACGTGGATGGTGAATTGACAAACAAAACGCACTGACCGGGGGACCAGTCCACAAACAGCTATTTTACATTCTAGCAGAAAACATCAGAGTGGCTTACACTCACTACTCACATTACGGCTGACGAAAGTGTTTGTTGTTCAATTCGCACAAATGATCGTCGGTTCAGTGACTGCCAAATGAACAATCATTCGAGTGATCAGAGCTGTTCTGTATAATACCCATCTACCAGTGAAAGCAAGAAGGCCTTCGCTGCGGAGTTATTTATTAGAAAATGCCAACTGACTAGTTATAGACTATTGGACAGGGAAGCAAAACTCTCATTTGAATCTTATTAACAAAAACTGAACGTCCATTTTCTCTTGAACGTGTCTTCCTGAGCTTTCCTGGATATTCATTGACTGTTGCTCAAATCAGCAAATGTTACAAAGCGACTCCACAAATCCCGCAACTGATCTCCTTTTTCAAGAGATGCAGAGCGAATTTACAAGAAAACATACTACTTGCATGCCTTCCTCACCAGCAGTATCATCGTTACACCAGTAGGATAACTGGGTCAACACAGGTTCCCAATTCGACTGAGATAGGCGAACTAGACCAGCCACAACTCTAGACACCGGTAGAGACAGATCATCAGTGAACCGTAAAAACCCCTACAAAGTAGAGTATGCACAGCAAATTAGCAACCGACAAGAACGGTGAATTTTCAATATTTATCCACGCGATATTGAGTTGAATTTTCCGTATATTTCAAGAAAATATGTGAACCGTGTCGAGACCATCCATAAACAAGTGAGTATTACTTGGATAACTGCAGAAGATACGAGTGACCTGCTTGTTTGGTCTATCAGAATGAACACCGCTACCAGTGAGATACTGTTGAATTCCCAGTGTTGATTTCTGCCGATGGGGAATATTGAAACGCAATTGGTAAAGGCGTCAATCGGTAGGAAAGAGCTCACAGTTCGAGCCGTGTGGAACCTCAGCGCCGACGTTAATATACCCAGCATGCGGAAGAAAGGACAAACTCTCTGTTTATCTTCCTTACTCCGCCAAGGGAAGCTTGATCATCACATGATAGCCCAGCCGTTAAAGCTCGAACTTATTAATCTGGAGATAAGTGTGTCGAACCCAACCGCAACTGCTCCTGTCTAGACCTGAGCAACCCGGCAGTATCTCAGCCCTTGTGCATCCTTCGGGTGACATGGCAACTAGGCACTGGAAGGGTGTAAAAGCTGAGTGATCGATTGAAGTACGTGAAGTGAAACTGAATTTAACCGACTCAAAACTAACCTGCAAAGTGTGTGGACCAGGATTATGTCCCAGGATCCGAGTGACGAATGGGGTAAGTTTGGTTACGGATGAAATTGGAGGAAGTGAAACGAACATAATTAACTGAGCCACTGAGGATCGAAATAACTACGGACGGATGGAGCGTAACGCTAAAATTCGGTGAAAAAAAAGACAACGCTCTGTGACCTGGACCAATGAGGTGTGTAATTACGTGATGCCCCATTGCAAGAAAGCATAGGTAAGAGAGCAAATTAGTTGTATATGACGTAAGCCGCTGACAAATTATTGTCTAACGTAGTACAAACCCTCAGTTGTCCACTCTCCTATTCCGAATGGTCCTCGAATTGGTCCGAATACACGTGGAACGGTGAATAAACACCTCAAAACTAACTGACTCAACCAAGTATGATCTTAGTTCGGCACATCCCTGACAAATTCCCCTGAGGGGTCGCGCAAATTATTTCGTCGGATGCGGCCCTCAAACTGTTCAATGGTTGTATCAAGCAGTTCGTAATCTGAGTAACCAATGAAAAACCTGCATTTTCACGACTTGTTCTACGAAGTGAATGGATGAAATTTTCGTTGCATTCGGTTTGGTTCAGTCCACTTCATTTATTTTTAGTTGAAAACCTGTGTACCTAAGTGCAGTGGCCCCAGCTGCTAAAGAAGCTATAAAATAAGAAAATGAGGGCCACTCGTTGGAGGCGTAGTCCAATCGATTCATTGACGTCCAATAGTTCCGTTTGTTCGGTGAAACAGGTAATAAGAGCTACTCTATGAACTCGATAGCTTTAATCTGAGACCGCCGATGCTGCTTTATACAACCAGAACTTTCAGGACCACTAAACATGGGTTCCACTGTCCCCATCTGGAGAGACGATAGTTACCCACGCGACTGAGTTGATTAGTAAAGGCTTTCATGCTTCGTTGTCTCTACGTCATCTCCATCCGACGCATGACTGGTCAAAGACAGCTCTGCGCGCCAAACGGCACACGAAGTACGGCGCTTCAATAGTGTAACCTGTGGAGTATGACCAGCTCCTCTTTTGAGGGAGAACGAACCATGCAGAAAATCATCTGCCGTAGCTCGGCATAACCAATGTTCACAACATTTCGGCGGCACTAAAGTCAAACACAAACAACCTTCACGAGAGACTATCACTTCTGGTCATCATAAGGAGTGGCGTCGCTCTAACACCCGCCGCAAAGTGAAGATATGAACGATACAACTCCGGCCCGGCAGAAGTCTACAATACACAGTGTACACATTCCACAGGTCTGTTCCCTTGACACTGTCTTTCCCCGGAATTCGATGTAAAAGCGTGTCCGTTTGAACAGATGAAATGGTAGGTCAGAAAGAGATGATCGAAAAGACCGAGAGTTAAAATTACTCGCGGCGGACTTTAAGATCAGAGAAAAGAAATCAATGTCAGGCACAACCTGATGGAGCCTTTAATGAATCTGCACCATCGGGAAGTGAATTCGTTCCACAATCAAGTGATTCAAATCAATCACAATAATTCCAAGACCGACTGTTTCGCGAGCCAGAACATACCGCTAAATCCTCCCACTGTATTGTAGATCAGCCTTAAAACGAACTCCGTACAACTCACTAATCCATCCCAGAATTCCTTATCAAACCAAAGCAGTTCACATTCAGTCTCCATGCACTTTATAAACCAAAGAGCATTGAAATGAGTCCAAATAACCACATACAACTGAACTCTTATCTATGCAATCGCGGTCAGACTCTTTTTAAAATACACCTAAATACCAGGTTTTCTTTTACCTAAGTGCCTCAAAATATGGACTCAGTTCTTGGACATGTCTATCAAACCATTTGCGACAGATCGACATTTTACTTTCGTCACTCTCAGGTGATCCAGAGCACTGCATACATGGAAATGCGGCCTGGAAAATACATCTAGGTTCACCAGGTCAATAGATATTGCACTAATTCGTACTAAATCCAAGCGAATATCATTCCACTAGAGGAGCAGGGTCCATCGGTAGCATCTATCTAGCTATCTTTTCATAAGATACGTATGGTGGTGTCAACCAGTGAATGCGTACTTAAGTGACACGCTAAGAGAGAACATTGAGGAATTAGGCCCCAGCGAAGTTTCGATCCTAGCAAGCACGGATTTCTCAACACACACAATTTCACTGCATCACCGGAGCATCATTAAAGCGATGTTCATGGCAAAACCGTGCAGTGATAAACTACCAGCAGCTTGGGAAGTGCATTGCTGACGATATGTATAAATGGTCTAGTCAACAGCTCGATGGTTTGTTTGCTTTTGCCTTCAATCAAACGATACTTCTCATTCTCTCACAGACAATATAACTGCAACCAGTGTCTCCAGCGATAACTGTCCACGGGTACACATAACTGCAACCGGTGTCTCCAGCGATAACTGTCCACGGGTACCTACTCACCTCCTGCTCCTTCATCACTGTCGAATAGAACACTGAAATCGCCGTAGTTTGTGGCTCATGACTGAGTTGTAGTCAGAGAGCATTCAACTGGAGAATGGGTCAAAAGCCTCAACAAGCGCACCAATCAGAGTAACTGGAATTCACGACACTTTGCTTTTCAAGCCCAAACTTCACAAGTTTAGAAGTCGAATATTGAAACGTGTAGTATCACTGCATACAGGCCAACACCAAAATGCTGGAAATTTTGAGGTACCGAATACTCCATATTCGCTACAGGTCGACCGAAATCGATTAGCCTTTTGTAACTGCAACTAAAACTCAATCGGAAATCACAGGGATCCCATATTCCTACCCTGTACTCTTACCCGCGAAAGGATGAACGCCTTTCAGAGCCAAGTTGTTTATCCACCAAAACGAGTTAAGCGGTTATACGGTACTAGACACGAAAGAAAAAATCTTATGTATGCAGTTTGTGAAACGTGAACATTCTCAAGCGTCCCCTTGATCTTTATTTAACGTTCTTTCAATATTAAGCACCGGTGAACAAGCACTACAAAGCGGCTTCATAATTTCCGGACTAACTTCCCATCATATGCCGGGACAGAGCTTTGACACCATAACCGACACTACTCGCGCAGTTCGTCAGTAACATACACCGTTACACCCGTGGCTTTAAGTAAACCAGCTGTTGTGCATTCTGAGGTTTGTTCACGACAGTATTAGGTCAAGTATAACATGACAAGTACTCGACAAATCATAAGCTCGATTTTACTGGATAAGCTAAGTGATCCATCGAGATGAGAAGATAAGATTTGCTACATACGGCTGAATCAGCAGCCTCAAAAGAGGGGAAGCATCCTAAGGTGCGGATGTTTCTACCTCATCCTGGATGCTTGGAATTGGGGTCATCATTGTATATTTTTTACATCTGGACCGACTGTCTATTCTGGACGTGTGACCGACAAGAACATAGGGCTGATCAGTACATCGACCGCATGTGCTGATGAGCAATTTGGAGAGGACAGTACACACGTTCCCACAGACGTGTTCCTCTTAAAGTCAAACGATTTTTGTATTGCCTACACTACAGATTGTCAGTGAACACTGATGGCGAGAGTGGATTCTTCGAAAATAGTGTTTCGACAAAACATCTAACAGGGAAGACCACTGTGGAAACTGAGAACCCCCAGATAATCTATACTGGAGTTCTAGTTGGAGGCGCCTTAACACCACCGACCTAGAAAAGATGATGCGACTAGTGAAGCGTTGGTGAGCAGGCTACATAAGGCTTTCACTAGAATACCCCCGAGGTTCGCTTGGACGTAGGCCTAACAAGTCACCGCGGAGATAAGGCTTCATCATTTTACTGACTGTGTTGTTGTTGGTCCAATAACGCCTTTTGGCACCCGTTGACGCATTAACAAGGCTATTAGAGATGGATTCTGCTTTAACACAACCTGTCAGGTAACCTATATGAACCACGAAAATCTGTTCCTGGAAGACTAACAAGGTTCAATCACGGTACAGTATCGAATGGGTGTATTTCATCCCTAGACGGATGTTAGGTAGGAGCCTGCGTCAGTGATCGATTTTTCCTAGGGAAAAACCGTCTCTAAAGGAACGCAGCTAAGGTTGCGTATTGCTGAGGAATAGCCTTTCCGACATTTCAAACAAGGGTAGAACATAAAATAGAGCGGTGCCTGGTGAGATAACCATTGAACTTTGGTATGGATGTAACTGTGGCGGTGATATGCCAGTTGATGGCGTGTGACTCTTTGAGGACATTATTGAAATGGAACAAAGAAACATTAAGTCATGCGGCACGGTGGTCTAAAACCAAAGGAGACAAGTTGTCAGGTACACCGGCCTCGTTTGCATAGACTTTTCACCTAGATGTATACATAGCTGCTAACCTGTGCGTCTGTATAACCTGGTGGAGCGAACGTACCTAAGCTTGCTGGCTCTATTGTTTTTAGCGATAAAGCCGACATTCCACATTAACCTTTTTAGGGTTTCCTCAACCAAAGGAGTTTCGATTGTCTGCCGTTCGTTTGTACCGCTTGACGTCTACCGACTCTCGCTAGCTCAAGAGTAGACTGCAATGTGGGTATGTTGTCATCAACAACACCCGGATGCAGTGCACATTATCCGGATCTATACCCTGCTTTGAAGAGTGTGTCTATTGTAGTGTATCAGTTGGTAGCTTTTGTATACACCTTGGGAAGAATTCCGATCAAGGATGTCTTTTGTGTCCAAGTGTACATACGTGAGTCGAGAGCTGTCTGACTCCGGATATCCCTGTTCAGTGTCTAGAAAGTACAAGTTGTTTTATAGGGATTATGAAACTGATTGAAGTCACTTTGAATTGGCGAGCAGCACAATCCTGTCCGACTGTTGAAGTTCCTCGTGCAAGGAACCGCAGAGCTAGAATGTTCGTAACACGAAGACGAGGATAAGACAAACCGCACTGTCGTATGTAGTAGCCAGCTGGCTTGATGGGAAAAGAGAAGGATTGATAGACAACCATATTGTAAGAAATCGTAAAACGCAAGCGAACACAACAGATTTGAACAGTCAGAAAAACAGATAAGGTGCAAGGACAAAACCGATAACAAAAGAGATCATGCAGCTGAGTCGAATCGTTCAAGGGAGCGGTG